GGGCTGCTTTTAACCATGTAAAGCACTTTGTGCTACATTTTTTTTTGTATGAAAAGTGCTTTATAAATAAAGATTGATTGATTGATTGATTGATTGATTGATGATATGGCTGGATATTACTGATAATAGATGTTTTTCCTCTCAAAATGAGTGCTGTAATACCAGTAAAATAGATTCCCCCTGCTTTCTGAAACACTCATTAAGGATCAATCATATATTTATTGCTGTTCGATGGGAATTTTTATATTCTAAATAGATCTATTGTTCAAAATTGAATATAGGCACTTGTTATGAACAAAGTCTTGGCCAGGGTCAATTTTTACATGCATCTTATTATGTGTATATATCATATATACTATGATGTATACGAATAACCCAAATTAAACACCTGAAATATGACAGGTTTGAAAACTTCTCCAGAATTGTGCTTTTAGGTTAATTACAATTGTTTGGGATTTTGATATGGAAGCTTTCACCCTTTAGATTGTGTTACTTTCATCAAACAACTCAGCTGAGCTGACTTTTTTTCTTTCTTTTTTTGTTAACTGTTCATTGTGATTCACTAGAGTTGTGAAAGAAATTGGGCAATTAGTGCATATGTTTGTTGAATTACAAGTTTATTAAATAATTTCTGTATTGTCTTACTGAATATACAAGGCTGCAAATAAAATCATATTTTTGATTTATTCAGGTACGTTCCTGCCAGCAGACAGACAGGTAAGCGCAAATCCACCATATTTCTTTACGTGTTCTGTAGAAGACTAAAATAGTCTTCATAAATTAAAAACGCAAAAAGAAGTAACTTTTTATAAATAGGTTATCTTTACTGTCTAAATCAAACATTTATAACTGATTAAAACCTTAATGTCACATGTCCCTTGAAGCTACCATCCCCTCGCTGAAAATTCAACATTTGCTCTTTTTTATCTACAAAGAGCCGCTAATGAACACGAGGTTTCGCAAATAAGCTATCAGAAACAAAGAAAAAACATTATGTAGTAGTTTAGAGGGTGAAAGGGGGCGACTTGCAGCCACAGTCCTATTTGTGTTTAAAATCTCCAATCTTTACAAAAAGACAAACTGTCTCCAAAGGACACCTATTCCGCTATAATTGGTGTACACTGTCTTCAAAAGCTGGGGTGAGAGGTACAATGCCTTGCCTGTGAAAGGAAACTCCAAAGCACATTAAAAGTGAATTACTTCTTGTGTAAAGTGTGTTCGGGGTCATGCTGGTCACGACGCGCGCACTTCTCCAAAAGCGCACACGTCTCCAAAGGCGCACTCCATAGTTTCTAAAAGGCAGTCATATTGTTGAGGGGTCTCACAAGAGGTGTACATATGGCATCCGGGTTGCAATTAAATGTTTTTAAGATGTTTTTCCTTTCTTGAAGAAGTTTCCTTTTCCTTTTTTTCTCTCCCGGCAGCTCTTTGCTAGAAAGAACAAGAAGAGGGGGGCACATTGAATGGCTTCGCTGCTAGTTTGGGATGACAACAATCTGGTCAGCGAGTTGTTGGACTTTGATTGTCCCCCTCAAAACGTCCTTCAGACAAAAAGCCGAAGACGAAAATAAAGCCCCACCTGGTACCTCTGTTTGCTAAAATAATAATAAATAGATTTCGTTTAATAAATAAGCAAAGGAGACTGTAAAGTGAAGTAGCAGAGGAAGTATTAATCAGGAGCATCAGGCAGGTATCACCTGCTCGGTAGCTTGCTTAGTTTATTGTTAAATATTGTTAAATCACTTTTCGTACCAAGTCTGCTCCGATATCTACCATTACCACAGCAACTGGCCGCTTATGTTTGCCTATACTTTGCATAACAAGCAGGACACTACAGCACACTGATAAAAAATCAAGGAGAGAGACTGACAACTTCAACCCACACCTGTCCACGATATCCTAATATGGATTTGGCATCAATGAATATTTGTAAAGTGGTAATATTCAGTTTACTTTAGACTTTTCGGGCCTTTTATAACAGCAAGGCACCATCTCCTATCTCCCTAGTATATTTGTCCAGTTTATTGAAAGCATATGGTTATCAGATTGTTCCCAAAACACATATTTAGACAGAAAGTTAAGGAGAGCTTTTTGTGATCCTTTGTTGGCAATTGTAAATCATGCTTGAGCCCCGCCACGCTTCCTTTTCCTCCCTTACCCAGGCTGCTCACTGTTGACTCATTTTACTAATCTTTAATGTGTTAAAATAAAGTTTTATTAGAAAATAGCAACGCGTCACTGAATTGTGGCGATCTTGGACAAATTTTTGGAGATGTCATAGCGCACAGACACAGGCTCACATTATAGAAGAAAACGAGCTTTTATTGTTGCAAAACACAAAAAGACCCTTTGTATCATCGATTTACACAGCGGATTTCACCTTCCCACCTCTCCTTTTTTAGTTTGCTCCATGCGTAATTGTCTTATCCAAATACCGGAGCTTTGCGCTCTAACGCAAGAAGCAAATGTTTATCCAAATATATGCCATTTAAAAACAACACTTGTTTAATATAGGTAAGGTTTTCTGAGCTAACAAAGAGGTAAAATAATCTTTAAAAAAAGACTCATCGAAGCAATAAGTAAGGACCAACTTGAAGGAGATTAAAGTTCTTTTAACGTCCGCCTTACCAGGTAGTGTGATGTGCGCAGAATCGCAAAGAGTCTCTCAATCTTTAACAATTAACAATAATAAAATAATAACTGCAGAGAACTTTTGCATTTTCTTCTTCATCTCGGTTTTTAGCGTACTCTGGTGCACATGGAGCTGATTTTAGAAGCCAGTCTGGCAATAATGTGCTCTGCAGGGCATGTGCCGATGTTTTGAGTGCGTAAAATGTGGCATTAAAAGTACCTCTTATGGATAGAGATCGGATAATATTTCCAAAATAAAACTTTGTGTACAGTGATATTTAATTAAACACAGTACAAATATTGACTACGGTTCCAACTTTTGCGCATAAAACTAAACGTTGCTTATTTTAAACCATGGCGAAAGTCTTTTCATAAACACATTATGATTTACTATAACAATAAACGATAGTAAAGATGAAGACAGCTAGCCTTGAAAGCTTTAATGGGAATTAAAGATCATCTGTATGATGTATCACATCATATATACAAGATCCATATTGTGTCTCGTGTCAAGCTTCTTTTTTTTTTTGCTAGACCAGCATCTCACTAGACAGAAACAAGCGCATGACCTCACTAAACCGAGGTCAAAGCAAAGCTCACAAAATGTTTTGGTTTTCTTTTCCTACCAGGACCTCCAGCATTAGTTTAGTGAATAGCTGGCATAATGATAAATACAAGCAATAAACAGATATATTAAGATTCCCAGAGTGGTAGTTTAGGACCAGCACAATCCTGAACGCTGCATGTTTGTTGCCCCCAGACAAACTTATGGAAATCGTCTCGTAATGTTTACCTTCTCCAAGAAAAAAAAACATGAAATCGGAGTATTATTAGCCTGACATACATTCGTGGCACTTTGCCATCCACGTGTATTTAATTAACTATTACAATGAATACACAAAGAAATACAAGCACACTGAAGGATGAGGGAGAGGGTGAAGGACTCGCTGCCTGGAAGCTGATTGGCCACTCGAGGAGCGCTGTTGATTCAGGCGTCCACGGTGCAAAAAACAGATAAGATAAAGGCCATATAAAGTGACAAGAGATGCGCATCCATCCCTCACTGTCACCTGCACATATACACTGTCTGCTGCCTCCAGCTACAAGAGCGGACTACGTCTTTATCCCAGCTTCGCCTGTCAGAAGTAGGCCTACAAACGTAAGTGCGACTACACTCATTCAGCAGAAGTTTATTCATTTTTTTAAAATATGTCCTTTAATGTTTTTCAGATATTTCCTTTCTAGTTACTGATGCAGTTGCGTTGTTATTTTTAATCAGTTAAAACGTTTAACGAACTTAGGGTGTAGATACACGTTTCAGTCTCGTAGAAAAAATGGGAAACGTGATTTCCAGGGTTTGTGGCACATCTCAGGGCATCATTTGGAGTTTCTTTTTCTCTTTATAGCCAAGCTGTCTCATTGGCATCGCTTTTGATTATTTTTCATCTTCTTCGTCGGCACAGGATGTATCCTAAAGTAATCTGCGTCCCCGACGCCCTGCGCAGGTTTTCTCCAACACTGCGCAACCGAGTGAACGAGGCCGGTGACACTTCAGGAGACTCACGAGGACAGCTCCCGCGAAAACCAGCGACTGTTACTCGAGACGTGTCCTCAGTGAAAAACCCCAAACACAGATGTGAGCAGTCCGGGCAGCGGGGCAGGCGAAGGACGAAGGCGAACGATAGAGAGCGCCACCGCATGCATAATCTGAACTCCGCCCTGGACGCGCTGAGGAGCATCCTGCCGGCTTTGCCAGAAGACGCGAAACTAACAAAGATCGAGACTCTGCGATTTGCCCGCAACTACATCTGGGCTCTGACCGAGACTCTCCGGATGGCAGACCAACACGCACACACTCAGGACTATCTGGCATCAGATCTGAGCAGCCCGGCAAGCGTTTTATCTGCCGAATGGGACTCAGCATCACCTTCAGAATGTGGTTATGGGACCAATGCTGACTTTAGCCACAGAAGCTCTCTCACCGCTGTTAATGAGATGAGCTGCAGAATCTTCTCAGGAGAGGAATCCAGCGCCATCCCCGTTACCTTTTGTTTCAAGTCCCTGTGTGCTGACAATGACCTGACGAGTATGTGGCACTTTTGACTCTCTATACAGCTCCATCTCACATAAAGAAGACATTTGGGTGCAAGCAGCAGTTCCCCATCCGCTTTAGCGAGGTTACTCGTAAGACCAGGTCCAAAGACATTAGTTTCCCCATGTTCAGTGTTTATTCTTCAAAAACAACTAAAGGTGGGGTTTTTTGCCTTTTAAAAAAAAAAACAAAAACAGAAAAACAACTGTAATTCAAATCATTCTTTGTGTTTGAAAGCAATTTAATGATCATGTGGCACCCCTAATATTTGCAGTCCTACAATCAGTGTTACTAAAAGAAAAGGAGCACCAAGGGACAATTAATAAACCAGCACGACATGAGAGAATTTGTTCAAGCTAAAAAATATTTATTTGGCAATTATATTCAAATGTATTTTGCTGTATAAAACAATGTTTATTTATTCAATAAAAACTGTAGAAAACATTTTTTTCCTTTAACAGGGATGGGAATATTCTGGCTTTCTTTTGCTTCCATGATTCAAAAGACGCTGAAATGTACAAACAGTATCAAAACATAGTGGCGGTCATTGAAATTATTTTAAATGATACAAAAAGAAAAAGAAATGCCATCTTACAGTATTCACTCGTTTTTCTTTCTTATAGGCCAAAGTTTTTGTGCAAATCAACATTTTCAAACACGTAGTTCCTTACTGTCCTGCCTACCAGTGACAGTACTGAAGTATAGTGTGAAAGGAGACCAGTTCATAGTCTTACGAGTAGCATTAGCTAAATATTGTAAGTCTCGGTTTATGTCTTGGTGTCCTATAGTGGCGTGCAGTCCGAGGCCGAGCTCAGTGAGGGGAACTACTTGGGAAAGACTGTAACCACGTCGTAGCCCTCGGGTGGAGTCACTCGCTCGCGTGCGTGCGTCTCACAGTAAATCTGGTTCTCCACAAAGAAATGTCCCTTCTGTTTTAGGTTGACATTGCAGTCTGTGCAGGTGTAGCACTCGGGATGACGGAACTTGTCCCTCAGCTTCACAACCATCCCTCTGAAGTGTAAATAAAAACAAAAATAAGTGAGAATGGCAGTGAGGGTCGCTGTCTATAGGAAAGAGCATCTTCTGATCTAAGCTGATCAAGTTAGAAAACATAAACACATATTTACTTTTAGATCTCAAAGGTGTTTTGGAGAAAGATGAACATCAGGAAATGTCTGAGTCAGAAATTAGGCCTGATTTATAACGTTTTGCTTGCCATTACAGGCACGTTCCATGTTCCCACTTCTCAAAACAGCACAGACATGAAAATGTCAGAAAATGAAGTGATACTCTCATACAGTATCTCAAAAAGGAAAGTACTGAAATGACCCTGTGGGAGAAAAGATTTGGTGTCGTATTCTGTACACTAGGATTTTATAATCTGGCTTTAACATCCACAACCACGTTTCTTACGCTGTAAGAAACAAAAGCAATTAATCTATTGCTAAAAAAGACGCATATTATAAGCTAGCACTGGTGAACCCGTGGGTAGACCCGTTCCTGGTAAACCCCATACTAAACCCTCGGCATGGCAGATTGAAGTAGAAGTTTCTAAACTCAGATCTTCTGATGGGACAGTGTGCTAAACATCTGTATGAAGTAAAGATTTTCAAGGATACTCTTAAAGAAAGGAAAATAAAACATTTATGAACCTTTCTAAAAATATAAAAAGCAAAATTAAAATATCTCCCAGCAGCAGGAATTAGGAAACAAGTGTGTTGTTGTTACTTCATTTGACCACAAGGTGGAGACACAGTATTTCGCCCAAGTGCTGCTAGACTCAGATGAACACAATCTAGAGGTCTACAGAGTTCAATCTTGACCATAAAATACTTACACAATCCCAGATCCACATTTGTCACACATGGGTAACTTCTCCGTGTTCCCCACTGATGCTCCAACCTTTGTTGTGGGTGCTTTCACACTCCTGAAGCCTGATGGTTTATCCGAGTCTCCTACAAACACCAAGAATAGACTGAAAATCTTGATTGGAATTAAAAGATAACAGTCTACCAAAAAGCTAACATTGTTTAAAAATAAAATATAAAAATCCCACATTGCCCCTTAAAGTAAATGGAAAAAGCATGGTATCAGTACCTGTCTCAAGAATCTCCTGAAGCACCTTGAATGAAGCAGACTGTCGAGGAGGCTCGTCAGACTCTTGATTCTCCTGCAGCATCTTGTAGACTTCAGAATCTGCGACTATGGGCGGTCGCTTACCTGATGGCTCTGATGGAGCACTAGAAAGAAATTGGGCACGTTTCAGCAAGGAAAAAAAAAAAATAAATCATATTCAGCAACAGTATTTTGATACATAATCAGACTGGCAGTAAAAGCACAGGAGATCACAGTGCTGATTCAGCACAAAAAACCCCCACCAATGAATGACCCTTCTCTTGTGTTTTACTTGTTTTAAACATAGACATCATTTTCTTAAGTCATTGGATTAGTAAATACTGGCTCCATCTGCTTGAAAGCAATATTCACACTTTAATGATTTGTTGAAGCACAGCAGCCTTTCGGGAGCTGGCCCGCTACTGTAAATTTTGCAGTTAGCAGTTACAGCCAAACAGTGTGTACATGTACTTCTCCTCCAGAAAGGATTCAAATAAATCACAGTGTGTTTAAGAGGTTTTGTGTATTTCAGTATTGAAGTAATCCTCTAAAACAAATGCAGTTCCAGTTTCCCCAATTCAAAAATGAGTATTTGGAAAACTACTTAATGAAAAGCTAAGCTTGCAGAATGATCTATAAAAGTCTTTCACAGTGTATCCAAACAACCAAGCAAATCAAAAAAGGAAGATGCATACAAATTCATTTTTCAATTAAATGGAAACATTCTGAATTTGAGCCACGATTATTGAGTCTACTGCCCACAACGATTATTTACTCTGTGACCCAAGCAGAGCCCAGCTGGACGAAACTCACTCATCCTCACATTTTCAATACTGATTGATTGCCATCACTTAAGCCCATCTTACTTGTTGGGGGGGTCATTAGCCGTAGTAATGGTCTTGACTTCATCCACAGCTGAGTTGAAGTCCTTGATATTCTCTGAAGAGTACAGCCCAGATGGATTATTGTACTGGTTAGTCACCACTTTGGGGCCGAAACCAGTGAAAGGCAGGGCGCTCCTGTTGTGGGTCGAGCCTATGTGTTTCACCTCCTGCAAAAACCAAGCTGCAAAAGTTAGGAGAGTGCAATATTTATGAAATTCAAGTGTGATTGAAACAAGCAATACTCTCTGTGCACACCTGATGAGCTATAAAAGTTTTGTTTCTTAACTTGCGCATGTACAAACATGCAGTGTTCGCTAAGTGGGTTAGAAATATGGCTTAAGGTTTGAAAGTGACTGGCCTATTGTGTTTTAAGCTTCACTTTCAACAACACTTTTCTCGAAAACAGACTTGGAAACTTTGAGCGGTTCTGTCTTTTTAAAGCAGCTTCCAGTCTGATACAAAATCACACATAATTTAGCAGGATAATGACTGTGGACTCTGCCTTAATTATACCTACGTGGCTAACTTTAACGACAGATGCGTCATGACACTGGCATGCCATCACAGTGGGCATACAAATACCACCAAATCTAGCTCATGCTTCACAGTGGGAACACGGAAATGCCTCCAAATATAGCTCATGCTTCAAGCTTCTAAAAGTGCAAAATCTCCCCGAGTCTCTGC